TTTTTTCTATTTCTTAACCTTATAATTGAAATTTTGGAATTACTACCATTCCCACAAAAGCTGCCGATGATAGCTGGTAGGTCAGCATGAACTTCTGTGGATATAAGTACCCAGGTCTTTGTTTTTTTTTTAATTTATTAGTATTTGTTTTCAGTCGCATGCATAATAGTTTTTCATTTAATTGAAAAATTGTTCTATACATAACAGCATTTGGTTATATTTCTGCAGTTATCTTCCTCCACATTATACCTTTGCAACTGTTTTGTTTTCATGTTGCATGATTTGAATGTGCTTATGATTGGTCATATTAGGTTATTTTTGTTAATGGTTTGTGATGCTCATATATATATATATATATATATATATTTTAATCATTCTCAAATTTATATATGGCTGAAAGGAAGTTTTTTTTAATCCAATGCAAGTTTTATTTTCTGCAATATATAGTTATGCTTTAGCTGCACCACAAGTCATCATCTAAATCTTTATAGCTGTTTCACATGAAAAAAATATCTTTGACAGTGTGAGAGATTGTGTATATTTATTTATTTTTATTTTCTATCCTTGTATGTTATTATTTTTTTATGTAAATATGAAATCTCTAAAGATAAAGTATTAGCCTAATTTATTTGTGGAATAGAGTGAAAAGCTCTTTAGTTTTATCTATGATTTTAAGTTTAATATTTATGGAATGTTTTATATGGATTCCAAACATTATAGAACTTGTGTCTTCAAGAATAAAACGTTTTTTAATTATTTTTTTCCTCAGAGAGATACTTTTCATCCAACACACTTCAACAGTACAATCGAGTGTGACCTACCCAACAACAAGATTCACCGATTTACAGGCTATATGTGAGTAATTTGTTAATTATATCTGTTCAGATGTGTATTCTTAATAAGAATACACAATCTTTCATTGTTTTGAGCCAAAACAGTGTATGTCATTTTCTGTGTAGATCTGTACAAAAAATAAACAATCTGTTTGGTTTCACACTAGTTAAAAACTGGTATTCATGTTATCAAGTTTATACAACAGCATCTTTTTTTAAATGGCAATTAGATTGTTAGATACCTCTGGATTTTTATAAGAACATTTTCTTGTAAGTGTATTTTCTAGAATACTTTTTTCTATATGGGTTTTCATTTCTATATAAATGTGCATGTGTGTTTATGTAATTTTTTTTATATATAAATATATAAAATATATATAAATGATTTTGGTTAACTCTATGTATATGTTTACTGACACTTTCACAAATATCTAGAAAATGTCATGAATTTAACTTGCAATCAACCGTATTCACAGTTTAAAATTAAAAATTTCCTTTATTAACTTTTGATGACAAAAAAGAAGAAAAAGTTTTAATTGAACAAATTTAAAATATATTAAAGTTATTATCAGTAATTCATTGTACATAGTTACAGTAGTAATTTTAAATGAATATATTTATGTAGGTGTCAGGTAATTTATGTTTAAGGAATTCTTCTAACCAAAACATGTATGGTTCAGATAATTTGTTTATAACACAAATCACTTGAAAATTTTATTTTCTTGCTTTCATTCTCTCTTTGAAGAAGTACCTTGTTGTGTCATGTGCGCTGATGCTTACACTAAATGAGTTAAAAAATAAGTGAAATAGGTCATTTGGCATTAATAGTGAAAAGCTAGAAGTATTATAAGAAACTTTCTTTGTGTTGAGCTTATTGAACTATAGAGCACTGTATCTTTGGTGTTTAGTGTGTGTGTGTGTGTGTATATATATAATTTTTGATAAGTTCATTTAACTGAAAGTTTATTGTGCAGTTTTCAGAATTATCTTTTTTGATTATATGCCCTGAGATTAGGATAAATTATGAACTATAGAATAGTAGCATGTAAATTAATAATTTATTCAGTATATGATAAACTGTTAGCATGTATATATAAAAATGTGATATACCTACAGACATAGTGTTAATATAATTTATTTGTGCAAGAGATTAAGAAGCTCTTGCTTTGTTTATGGTTTTAAGTCAAATTTTTATAGAATTTCTTGTGTGGATTCTGAACATTATCTGTATAAAACTTGTATCTATAAAGATAACTTATTCATTGTGTGTGTAGTCAGCTTACACTTATAAGTTACACTTGATTAGATACAATATTTTTTATTCTGTAAGGCTCTCTGGTGGACATTTTAACACTTTTGACAGGCATTGTTTTTTAACTATGCCAAATCTTGTCAAATTTTACTCTCAAGTAATTATGCGAAAAAAGCTTTCATATTTTTTTTATTGTTTTTGTCTTGAGTGACATTAAAATGATTAGAAAGTTCTGTATATCCTGAAGACTGTTTTAAAATATTTTTTGAAAGTTATGGGATGGGTATAGAATGTCTTTTCATTCCCAGAAGCAATCTTCATTAGACACATAAAATGACTGTTTGTGGTATTTGAAGTCCGTAATTGTTACAGTTTTATGTGGCCAATATTGCACTTTCTTACAACAATTGGCTGTCTTTAACTGAGGTATTTAAATGTTCTCAAGTTCAGAAACTGTACAAGTAGGCCAAGTTGTATTGAAATGGTCCAAAACATTCTGAAATTATAGAACAAAGTATTGACTTATTGTTAAATGCCTGGTGACTGTAATTGATTAATTCTTTCAGACAATTAGTATTTCAGTTTTGATAAACCACAAATAATCTAAGCCTAATGACATAACAGAATATGCCAAAACAAATTTTTTTTATATGTTAAATATAAAAAAGGGGTTAAGTATTGGTGAATAGCTTTTAGTTGAGTTTTATCTTTAGATTGATTAAAATATATATATGTAACATAATAATTATGAAATCATCCCCTGCTTCAGTTATCTCGTGAAAAATTTATAGAATTCTACATGTATAGACAAGTGAATAAAGTACTTGTTCGAGCTACATCGTGGAAGTTCTGTGTATACTAGCTATATACCATGGTAACTTTAATAACGCAGTTCGCTGTATTTATTAGAACTTTGGATTGCCACTGATACCCTGACATAAAACATGTGCATATTATGATAGTTATTATGTTTTAAATTTTATTCAAAAGAATACAGATATATTTTGAACACAGATTTAGAATAACTGTACGTAGTAACCAATTAAAACATCAAGAATTTGTACAAAATACTATTTACTCATTTTTACATGATTTAAATGCAAAGGTTTTCACACACTTGATTTTGAAATGGCTGGGGTATCAACTACTTTTTAAATATCTGCAGAGCCCGGCATGGCCAGGTGGTTAGGACGCTCGACTCGCAATCTGCGGGTCGCGGGTTCACATATCCATCCCACAAACATGCTCGCCCTTTCAGCCCGTGA